GGAGGATCCAGACTTCTTGATGATTTAAAGTTCTTTCTTTGATATTTAAATCTTGTTTTGCAACTTGGGAAAACATACACATCCATTTTTACCATAAGCAATATAACAAAATAACTAATATATTCAAAGGATATCTTCTGTGTCTTATGAAGATATATCAAGCAGGAATAGAAACTAAAAAACGGGGGATAGATAACTAAGGTGTTGTACTAAACTTTAGTGTAAGTTACCAATAGTAGACCCCAGAATATAACAGCTCCCGTTTGCTAAAAACTACCTCTTGTATCATTAAACGATAAAGTGATTCAAGGGAAATGTGTTGTCTGAACAAGAAGTCTTCGCTAAGTGACAGCATCAACTACAACATATGAATTACAAATAACACACAATAAAGATTAAATTGAGATGTGGGCAAAATTACATGTACCGTGAAACAGGTCCTTTTGAAAGATTTTAAAAAGACACATGGCGACATGTCATCATCATCATCATCATCATCATCATCATCATCATCATCATCATCATCATCATCATCATCTTCATCATCTTCTTCTTCTTCTTCTTCTTCTTCTTCTTCTTCTTCTTCTTCTTCTTCTTCTTCTATACACCATTGCATCATCAGGTGGTAGTCGGTTGGCGCAGTGGTAACATACTCGTCTTTTACTTAGCCGTTCGGGGTTCGATTCTCTGAACGGATATGGGTTTTCTCTGGTTTCCTCCCACAGTAAGACCACTCGCGCACTGATAACAAGAGTGATTAAGTTGAAATAAAAAGTTTCTGTTTGTAAATAACTTATGCACATATAGAACGTGAAGGCATAAAAGAACAACGAAACAATTGACTTGATGAGAGAGAGAGAGAGAGAGAGAGAGAGAGAGAGAGAGAGAGAGAGAGAGAGAGAGAGAGAGAGAGAGAGAGAGAGAGAGAGAGAGAGAGAGAGAGTATACAAAAATGCGGACGATAAAATTTGAAAGGGATTTTGAGGAGGGTGGGGGGCAATTACATGTATTAGAAATAGGAGGGGTGGGGGAAATGGCTGGGGTAACTGTGGGTATACCTTTGTTTTTAATTCATTATAGATAATCCTTTTTTCTACTCACGTTGTCCATCCATCCGTCAATTTTACCTACAAATTGCTACTAGTGATGAACGACTAAGATGATTTCCACCAAATTTAATCCGAAGCATCCTTTGGGAAAATACTTTCAATTTTGTATAAAAAAAATGGGTCTATATTCTAGAGGCCCTGAGGGAAAGGTCCCAAGATGGTAAATTCAGCAAATTTTTTGAAATCCTTTTTGATGTGTAGGAATGAATGTATTTTGCCCATCATAGCGGGATAGAACAGATTCTGTATATTTCTCCTCGTTCAATAGGAATGACATGATTCTGCCCGGTCTGGAGAATTCGTGGTTAAAAGGAAATCAACTTTGTATTAACTGTGGGTCTTTGCACCCTGGGAGGACAGGCCCAATAAGGGAAATAAAAAAATTAAACCTTTTTCTTTTCTTCTACGCGAATGCCTGAATTGGTAAGAAGCATTATTTGGTGTTCAGATTGTGTGTTCATTGATAAAAGCGTTATTTTTCACTTTTTTTCACCAATGAAAAGAGAGAACACAAACCATCTGATAAAATTAACAAATCATAAAGTCCGGTACAAAAAAACACAAATCCAGAGATCTGAAAGAGTTGTTAACTTGTGGCACGACCTTCAGTTTCATGGTAAATGTTCAATTTCATTTAAGTCAGCAAACAATGCAACGCAAATTATCTTATCAGAGATCAAATCCAAGTTATAATGAGAGAGTAGTGTCCGCAAGTCAGCCCCTTCGTTTTAAATTTCTTCTTAACATGCCAGCAATTTTGCTATGAGGCTGCGAGGAAGTTTTATGGTCGTTAGAATGATATCATTGGGAAAGATTCCATTTCCTTTTGTGGTATGAAGAAGCTGAACGTGTTGGATGTTCAATAGTAGACCTATTGTTGTTTATTATAGTATCACGTGGGAACGTGACATCACTTACCGGGATAGACCAAGATTGACATGATGGGTGTGGTCGTTTTCGTGGTCCTGCATGCAGATCTTTCCTTTGTTATTTTACCCCGTTCAATCGAATCTGAGTTTGATATATTGATATTCTCTTATCATGCTTTTCTTTTCAGTACCGCAGTTTTCTATGGACTCCTAACAAGTATGATAATGTATCTAGGCACAATCAAACTACTTTGTTTGTAACTGAAGTCAGCATGTTCTATAAAAAGGATGCTTGAACTATATGGCTATGTATAGTGCGCCAGGAGGCCTTCTGTATTATATACACTCAAAACCTATTATTGTGACATATATACTTAGTATGTAATTATTTCATAACATTATAACTTGCAAGATAATTCTTCACGGACGGTTTGTTTTTGATACACATCCTTGTTGTTATGTCGGTTACAGATAATCATATATTCCAAACACGTTTGATAACATTTATTTACATTCAGACCAAAATTGAAAATCAACGCCAAAATAGAATTATAGTATGTAATAGATTTCGTAACAGTTTTTTGTTATCTAATCCTCAGTTAAGGACTGAATCTTCCTGTGGTTTTGGTTAATTAACCCGGTTGTTCTAGGGAAAGTTTTGTTAACTTGTAATGTTTATAATTCAGTTAAGACGGTTTGATTTGAAGTCTGCAGTGACTAGAACTTGTCCAGGTTTAATGGCTTAGGTTAAAATGGTCCGATATTAGAGGATGATAAAACAATATTATGCAAGCAAAAATACAATTAAGCAACACATTTCCAAAATTAAAAAAAAAGTATGTATGAAAAAACATCATTTAATTTTCACCATATGTCGTGATGTAATCGTTGTAAAATTCTCTCCGGAAAAAGCAATGTTTTTTTCTGATACACTGCATGGAATACTACCTATAAGATGTGTTTACTGTTTTTTTAAAAATGCGCTGCCTAGGTTCGAAAAATAGAAAAAAAGAAAGAAGGAAAAAGCATGTGCTGACCATTACAGCGTAACGAACGCAAATCTTTGCCATTCGAATCCACTTTTAATACTTCCAAATGCTATTTTTGAACTTATCGATGAGAAGTATATTCAAATTTTTTTAACACAAGATTTTTTTGATCGTCACTTTATATTATTCCGTTGAAGTTGTTCACGAAGGTCGTGCGAGTTATCTCCCTTCTAACATTACAAAAAGAATGAAAGCAGTGGGAATGGCCTATTCGAAAGGTTTTACGGTGAAAATGATTTTGTATTTTCACTCATTTTTCATCGGATCTCATCAGCATTTGCTGTGAAAATATCAATTCTCCCAGCTTGCATCGCGAACGATAACTTTGGTAGAAATAACATCTATAAACGAAATAACCATTAGAATGTTTGGAGTGACTACTTTTTTCAACAAATTTTGAAGATTTTTGTCTAAGAGGTGAAACATATTAGGTATCGATAATAGAAGACTCAAACAGACAGAGCAGCAGTTAAAACTGACATCAATGAAAGGCTTGAAAAATGCAATGAAAAGAATATTCTATTTTTCTAGACGAATAACCGTTACATTTCCTTGGGTGGAATTTTTTCTCAACGCATTCGCCAGTGACAAATGTTAAAATTTTTAACCCGTTCTATGAAATATTTCTTGTTACTCATTAAGGAACAAGGACTGATATGTAGGAGCTACAGCGTAATTACGAATTTCGTGATCAATTATGGTATTTTTATTGGTTAACAGTAATCCAGAAGAAAGATACATTCTTATAGGTGATTGGGTTATAATATCTCATAGATTAGTTTTTTTTTATTTTTTAATTTGTCTTTACAATGTGTGTTACTAAATGTCTTGGCTTTCTTTAAAATCGTCTCCCTATGTGTGTGAGTTGTCGTGGCCCTTACCACCACTGACAAGTCTTTTGGGTTAGACTGTATGTAGAGGTTATATAACTACACTAGGTGTACCTAATAAAATGACCATTTATAGATATACTTTGGACTTACTTAGTATCATGATAGTAGCTGTGTAACATGTTATCCTATAGTAAAATGTCCTCATACAACCTCATATATTGATCACCAGTACAAGTGTACAGTAAACATTTCCACATGGTACCGATCAGCTGTTGTTGACAGTAGAGGTGCGTTCGACTATACGGAGAAACGTATCCGGTATTGTGTAAACGGAACGTATACACAGATTTTTTTTTACAATATCGATGTAAACTTCAAGTATATCTATTGCATTACTGGTGGTATTTCCACGTGCAAAATCATAAGTTTTAATCCATAGCACACTGATTCACCATTGTTTAACATAGAATATTTCACTAATTTCCACTTGCATTTCAAAGTTTCAATCTGAACTTTGTCTACAAAAATATTAATTTGTCTGTATATTTCACCTATATCGATTGGGCTCCAGTATGTCGATCTTGCCGTTTCTAATAGATGTAAATGTTGCCTCTTTGCTTATATCCTTAGGTTTGATACAAACTTAGTTGAAACGTGATGTTACATTAAGCGTGTATTGTTATAAAAGTAAACAAAAACATCAATTTGATCATTTGCCATTTCCGGTATAATATGGCTGTTCAGTTGAACTCGTAACTTTTCTAACAACGTACATCGGGAAATTTATTTATTTATTTATTGTGATAACCCGTGCTTATCAAACATAAATATAAGGATTCATTTTCTGTACCTGCATCGAAGAACTGTTTAGTATTAGTATACTAATACTTAGTATTTAATTTAGGCTAGATACGTATTTTACATGGATGGTTAATGTTAGTCGACTGTGGATACACTTCAATGTAGGATATCAAAACAATAATTACGTATGTAATAGACATTATACATGTTGAATACATTGTTGTTGACAAGTACACGACAACAAAACAAGTGAACTCCTGTTTTGAAATAACAACAACGAGACATTTATTTTTCACAGACACCTGAATGAGAACAATAAAATGTTATTACCCATAACCCTTAGTGTCGACGGCGCTTCCGTTTAAAAAGAGAGTTCCGGTATCTAGCGTACATGCGCCAGTTTCTATGTCGTCGTTTCTTATGATAATATACGGCGTTACAACATTTTTGGAATCGACTGTGACGACGTAGCGCACATTTTTGGTACTTATCCATAATATTTTGTCTGTATTTATTGCCGTAACGACTCCTTAGGAGTTTTAACCTCTGTTTATAACGATATAAGCGGTATCGCCGGAGCTTCACTTTTAACTGGTTGGTGTAATACCCGCTATGACATGGCTTCCTTCGTGTAGCCGAAACTCGTCCCAGTCGGCAGCACGTCGACGAATGTAATCTTGATACTGAACCTTCAAAAGAATGGAGAAAAAGAAGTGTTTTGATATAGATAATAAATCAAACGTTTCATTCCAACACGAACTTCTTTGCATCAGATGATATTAGCTATGCAGTGGCAATATATGATGTGACACTCTCCAAAACACTTACACATTTAGTGACATCATATACCATAGCTGTAACTTTTAGTGACGTAGTTACCATAGTTGTATTATTTTGTGACAATAGTTACCGTAGTTGTATCATTTAGTGACAATAGTTACCGTAGTTGTATCATTTTGTGACAATAGTTACCGTAGTTGTATCATTTTGTGACAATAGTTACCGTAGTTGTATCATTTTGTGACAATAGTTACCGTAGTTGTATTATTTAGTGACAATAAATACCGTAGTTGTATCATTTAGTGAACATAGTTACCGTAGTTGTATAATTTAGTGACCACAGTTACCGTACTTGTATAATTTAGTAACCATAGTTACCGTAGTTGTATTATTTAGTGACCATAGTTACCGTACTTGTATTATTTAGTGACAATAAATACTGTAGTTGTATCATTTAGTGAACATAGTTACCGTAGTTGTATTATTTAGTGACAATAGTTACCGTGCGAAATACGTACCTGTATAACTTCTATGTGAAGTACGTACCCGTATAACTTCTGTGTGAAGTACGTACCCGTATAAATTCTGTGTGAAGTACGTACCCGTATAACTTCTGTGTGAAGTACGTACCCGTATAACTTCTGTGTGAAGTACGTACCCGTATAACCTCTGTGTGAAGTACGTACCCGTATAACTTCTGTGTGAAGTACGTACCCGTATAACTTCTGTGTGAAGTACCTACCCGTATAACCTCTGTGTGAAGTACGTACCCGTATAACTTCTGTGTGAAGTACCTACCCGTATAACTTCTGTGTGAAGTATGTACCTGTATAACCTCTGTGTAAAGTACGTACCCGTATAACTTCTGCGTGAAGTACGTACCCGTATAACCTCTGTGTGAAGTACGTACCCGTATAACTTCTGTGTGAAGTACGTACCCGTATAACTTCTGTGTGAAGTACCTACCCGTATAACTTCTGTGTGAAGTATGTACCCGTATAACTTCTGTGTGAAGTACGTACCCGTATAACGTGTTAAATGATGGTTTCCTCCATCTTTTTGCATCATCCCACTTCCGTTATCGTTAGGAAGGACAAGGTCCTCGTCATCTGTCGTCTTCATCATCATCGCCGCTTTCCACCTCGCCCTTGCCTTCCGAATCTCCTCACTGGTCAACCAACTTCCTACAAAAAGATATTATCTTCAATTTTGGTTCAGTTCAGGTCTTCAGCCTTCAAAGCTAAATCGATTCTGGTACCATCACCAAACCTTGTATATGTTTTTATGGTCAGTAGATTCTGGTCATCGTCACCACACCCTGTATACGTTTTTACGGTCAGTAGATTCTGGTCATCGTCACCAAACCCTGTATAGGTTTTTTTGGTCAGTAGATTCTGGTCATCGTCATCAAACCCTGTATACGTTTCTTATGGTCAGTAGATTCTGGTCATCGTCACCAATCCTTATATATGCTTTTATGGTCAGTAGATTCTGGTCACCATCACCAATCCTTGAATACGTACGATGGTCGGGTTTCGCAGTGGTAACGCACTCGCCTTTCACCTAGCCGTCCTTGGTTCGACTCCTGGAACGGACGTGAAAAGGTTAGGGTCACCTGCCCGACCACGTGGGTTTTCCCTGGGAACTCCGGTTTCCTCCCACTGTAAGACCCCTCGCACGCTTCCATCCGGGACAACAATAGTGATTAATATAAGTTGAAATAACTTGTTTCGCATTTGTTGTAAAATAGATAACGTTTATAGTTGTAAACATTTACTTAAAGGACACTTGGGAAAACCTTTACTTAAAGGACACTTGGGAAAACCTTTACTTAATGATACTCGGGAAAACCTTTACTTAATGATACTCGGGAAAACCTTTACTTAAAGGACACTCGGGAAAACCTTTACTTAATGATACTCGGGAAAACATTTACTTAAAGGACCCTCGGGAAAACCTTTACTTAAAGGACACTCGGAAAAAACTTTATGGTTGGTTACGTTATATCGAAGTTAGCGGCTGATATGAACAAAAGGAGTGTCCTTGGTTTTCAGGTATGCATAAAATTCCGTTCGGCATTGTCAATGAATGTCTCGTTGTTTAATAAAAAGAACGCCGAACGTATCACATTCTACAGCAGGTCAATGTTTTCCCTACGATAACAGCAACATAAATTTAATTAAATTTAATTTAGCTAACTTGGTTTGCTAATTTCACAGTATTAAAAATGGTTAATTTATAAGTGTAAAAGTCGCCGTATCAAAAATAGTTAATTTATCCGCACTAAAATATCTTATTAACCCGAAGTATCAGTGTCGTCGTACTGAAATACTTTATTTCCCCGAAGTATTAGTGCCGTCGTACTAAAATACTTTATTAACCCGAAGTATCAGTGTTGTCGAACTAAAATACTTTATTTACCCGAAGTATTAGTGTCGTCGTATTAATATACTTTATTTACCCGAAGTATTCGTGTCGTCGTACTAAAATACTTTATTTCCCCGAAGTATCAGTGTCGTCGTAATAAAATACTTTATTTACCCGAAGTATCAGTGTCGTTGTAATAAAATACTTTATTTACCCGAAGTATTAGTGTTGTCGTACTAAAATACTTTATCTACCCGAAGTATTAGTGTCGTCGTACTAAAATACTTTATTTACCCGAAGTATTAGTATCGTCGTACTAAAATACTTAATTAACCCGAAGTGTCAGTGTCGTCGTACTAAAATACTTTATTTACCCGAAGTATTAGTGTCGTCGTACTAAAATACTTTATTTACCCGAAGTATTAGTATCGTCGTACTAAAATACTTAATTAACCCGAAGTGTCAGTGTCGTCGTACTAAAATACTTTATTTCCCCGAAGTATCAGTGTCGTCGTACTAAAATACTTAATTAACCCGAAGTGTCAGTGTCGTCGTACTGAAATACTTTATTTCCCCGAAGTATCAGTGTCGTCGTAATAAAATACTTAATTAACCCGAAGTGTCAGTGTCGTCGTACTAAAATACTTTATTTACCCGAAGTATCAGTGTCGTTGTAATAAAATACTTTATTTACCCGAAGTATTAGTGTCTTCGTACTAAAATACTTTATTAACCCGAAGTATTAGTGTCGCCGAGGTATTAGTGTCACCGTACTAAAATACTTTATTTACCCGAGGTATTAGTGTCGCCGAGGTATTAGTGTCGTCGTACTAAATTTACCTGAGGTTTTAATGTATCCGTACTGAAATAGTTATTTTACCTGGGATCTTAATGTCGCCGTATCATTATGTGCTTAATCTGTCAAGGATATCAGTGTCGCCATTCTGAAATAGAACATTTATCCAGCGTGGTGATATCGAGGTATTACATATGGTTAAATTACCTGACGTGTTAACACCGCCGTACTGTCGTTGTATTATGAACGGTTCAGCAACCCGATCAGTTAGTGTCGCCGAGCTATAAAATAGTTAATTAACCAATGATTTTGAATTCGTTGCATTACGAAAGTTCAATGTAACCGATATGTTTATGTCGCTGAACTATATAGTGGCTTATTTACCCGTGGTTTTACAGACTCTGTACTATAGCGTAGTCAATTAATCGCAGATATTAATGTTACCATACTAGCTGGTTAATCTACCCGGGGTATTAATTTGTCCGTAGTTTATACGTTGTATTTACCAATTGTTATTTGACCCTGGATTGTCCACTGAGTTGATGATGTAATATCGCAATAGGTGGTTAATCTACCCGGGGTATAAAATTGTCCGTAGTTGAATCTTGGATTGTCCAGCGAGCTGATGACGTAACATCACATTAGGTGGTATAACCGTGTCGCAGTCCTATGAATGATTATCTACACCCGGTATTAGTCATCATTGTTAGCAGCAGAAGCCTTGTTTGCCGTTGTTTCTAGAATGAGTCATACTGTGTTGTACATACTTCCACCATATATATACCCGCTTTACGCCAACTCTAGGAATTGTCATGAATATTTCAGTATACGTCTGAAGCGAAAATGAAGTAGAATATGTTATGTATCAAGGGTAAACCTAATAACAAGATTGTTCGAAAAGAAAACAACGACATCGAATGTCGTTTAATCTTCTTCAAACACTCAATGGGCTTCAATTAGGACTCGGAATTTATTGCATGATAACATATCACATTATCAGTTTAATATTCAGGTTAAAAGTTCTGATTTAAAAAAAGAAATGACATCCGTTAAACCATAGAGTTTGATCCTTCAGCAAATAAAAACACTACCAGTGACGAAGCTCTATACAACACATAGGTAAATCTGATGTAGCACGGTATTGAGTCACTGACCTACTGTATATACAGTTTCCTTATAATTCCAAGTAATACTGGGAACCAACTCTCAACACTTCTATCGAAATTATCTATTTTATCAAGTGCCATAATTTTACTTTGGAAAAATAATTTTAAAAAAAACACTTTAGAATCCCCGATGTCCTTTGGGACCATTCAACACTAAAGTACAACTATTTTCCACGCATTTTTATCAAATAACAAGAATGGATAATTTTGACAGACTACATTTAAATGTAAATCTTATTAATTAGTGTTCTACCTTACTTTTACAGCTGCACAATAGCAGACAAGTACACCAGTTCCAGGTTCCTAGTTGCGTTTAAGAAAAAAGGGACTCGGCACCAGATCCTAGATCCGTTTTAGCTTAAATGGAATTGTAATCCGATTCCCAGTTCCGGTTTTGTTGAATGGACTTAAGAACTAGGAACTAACCTCAGGCTCCTATACAGTATAAGATGATACATAAGATCATTATCATGGTGGTGGTTTTTAGACGTTCCGTTTCTCTTACGTCTTTGTGTGCCGCCTATTTGCTAATTTTGGACAGTAGTGACTTCTAACAGGATTCTTGACGTTGGTCAAATAAAGAAAATGTACATCTGCTTAAAGTCTTTAGAAGAAAACATGATATTTTGGAATCTACCTTTATTTTTAATCCAAGTTTGAAATTAGAAGTGCCACACATGGATTGCTGAGCATAGATCTACCTGTAAAGGAATGCTGACAGGTTCGTAAACACATATTGCGTTGAGTTAATATCATACGACACATACAAAATGACATTTCCGAGTTTCAAATATGTCTCGTGATACCCAGGTTAACTTCTAGAACGAGTCAGCGGACAAGTAAAGTCAAATTAGATGCGAGATTTTTCAACTTAACAACAGACTAAAGGCCACGGCAATATACGATTGAACAGTGTATTGGACATTATATTGGTGTGTATGTGTTCCCTAAGTTAGAGCTGTCTCCATCGCTGTCACCAAATTACTCTAAGGTTTGTTATACAATGTCAAGCAATAGAGCGATAGTTCTAGTATTCACCGTCACCTGTTAGGGAACGGTGGCAAGGCGATATCAGATAAATTAAACTGCAATAGTCTAAAGTGAGTGTGTTATAACAATATGTCTGACTTCATATTAAACCGACTTATAAGTTAACTGCCTACATATGAAACTGTCTTCCCTGGTAACTGTCTACATGTTTAACTGGCCTCAGTGGTAACTGCCTTTGTATGTAAACCAACCCCTCTGCTTAACTGCCATTGTATGTAAACCAACCCCTCTGCTTAACTGCTATTGTATGTAAACCAACCTCTCTACTAGCTACCTTTACATGTAAACCATCCCCTCTGCTAACTGTCTTTATATGTAAACCCATCCCTCAACTAACTGCCTTCACATGTAAACCCACCCCTCTACTAACTGCCTTTACTTGTAAACCAACCCCTCTACTAACTGCCTCCACATGTAAACCAACCCCTCTGCTAACTGCCTTCACATGCAAACAAACCCCTCTGCTAACAGCCTTCACATGTAAACCAACCCCTCTGCTAACTGCCTTCACATGTAAACAAACCCCTCTGCTAACTGCCTTCACATGTAAACCAACCCTTCTACTAACTGCCTTCACATGTAAACCAACCTCTCTACTAACTGCCTTCACATGTAAACCAACCCTTCTACTAACTGCCTTCACATGTAAACCAACCTCTTTACTAACTGCCTTCACATGTAAACCAACACCCTGCTAACTGTCTTTTCATGTATACCAACCCCTCTACTAACTGCCTTCACATGTAAACCAACCCCCTGCTAACTGCCTTTACATGTAAACCAACCCCTCTACTAACTGCCTTCA